TATAGAAGGTGGAGCTTAAATGCCTAGAAACTTTCTCCCCACCCTGTAATCCTGTCACTTGCCTAAATTTTAAGCGCTATCAGTTTCTGAAAGTCATTATCACTAGATGGAGACTTACTTACTGTTAGAAAAAAATTGCTTTAACTGGGTACTTTAGTGTATAGGGTGTTGAGAAAGTTTATGTAGGGAAAAAACTATCCCTCAACACCGTATAAAAAGAAAATTATGTTTTTCCCCTAAAATTGAAGCATAAACTTTCTCAACACTCCATATATTAAACATGTTCACTTACTTTCCGTCAATAAGAAGAGGATTTTGAATATATTCTTGTACAAAGTGTCCACTGTCATCTAAATTAATTTCGTCAATCTTTTCTATCCAAATTCCTCGATGATTGTTACTCTTCTTGACCCAAAGACGATCAGGATTATTTTTAGCCTGTTGAAATACAGAGAAATTATTATCGGAACAAAAAGAGTTAACAAAGCAAGTTATCAAGCATAATGATCAACTAACAAGTTGATCAAGTTGTTCATTTGTTGCTTAATAGGTTTCGAAGATTCATTTTTTGAATGCATTTTAACCTCTACTGAAAGTATTAATACAATTAAGTTAAATTCAGTTGAGCAAATGAAAGAATAAACAATTCCCTCAAATCAAAATATATCAATACATCGTATAAAGACTTGATTTTGATACAATTGGAGGGAAAAAGAAAGTGATGTTTAAAAACTGAAAATGGTGAAAACTTACATATTCAACAAACTTGTCCTTTTCTTTAGGTAAATGGAAAGCTTTCGGTATATGATCCATAGATGTTGTTGCAAGACTAACCTTGTTAGTAATGTAACCAGAACCAGGAAAATGGTTAACCTAAACAAAAAAAAAGATTGAAAAATTAAAACAGATGAAATCATAGATCATAGTTGAAACGAAGCAAGGCTAAAATCTGTTGCTGAAGAAAGAGATGAGCCACAAATGTTTCTACCAAAGCTTTATCTCGAATCGATGAGGCTTTTACTCAATTTTTCCTCAACATAACTGACTAAATTGGTTTTTTGATTGGATTTAAAATTACCTTTTGGTGTGGCCGGAGAGAAGTGAAAAATTCTTTACCAAATGGGTAATCATGAGACCACAAAACATCCCATTCTTGATTGAATCCATCTACTCGTTGATAACCAATACGGTCCAATGATTCAATAACGTGACGAAGATAGCCAGACTCCATCTATCCCGGTAAATATAGATTTATTTGTTTAATTTAAAACAATAACAAGTGTGCATAATAAGATGAGATATACTTACATTTCTTCCAATTATCCAAACTCTTGGCTTGCCACTGGTCAATAATGCTTGACGAACTTGGGTTGAGTTTTTACCAACCAAAGATGCTTCCTCGTCAGTCAGGATTGAATCCAATTTGGAAATGTCTATGGACCCATCGGAATTCATTTTGTACACCATTCCCAAATTAAAGGCAGTTAAAACTAAAACAACTGACAATAGACTAGTGATCAAATTTAAGCGAGATTTTATGCAGGAATCCAATTTACTGTTAGCAGATGACCTGACTTGATTTAAATCTCGGTCAATCCCACCACTTTGTTTGCTTTGTTTTTGGGTAGAGTCTCCAGCTGATTTCTGGAAAGTGAGTTGTTGAATAGATTTGCACCGGTATTAGTCATTTGTTGATCATTACTTCTGAAAAATTAATCTTTAGGAAGCCATTTCTTACCTTGTTTGTTTCCTTACGTTGCCGTATCATTTTAAACAAACAGAAAATAAAAGTTAACTGCTAACACAGAGTTATAAGGGCAAAGTTTTTTTCAAAACAAAAATGGTGGTTGACCCAAGAACAGAAGATGGTAACAGCAATATGATGCTGATGATTATTTAGTGAATTGTGTGAAGGTAAAAAAGATATGATGTAGCTCCATTCAAATCGCCATCCTCATGAAACTTGACTTTCAACTTTTAAAGATTCAGATGATCTTCTTCGTCGCTCTCACATAAACATTTGAACTTTCTTAAATATGATTAGCATTTCATTCGATTATGATTATGCTGATGGTAATAATGATGACGATGAGACATGAAAACAAAGGCATTTTACCCTTTACCTTCTTTTCACTTCAATAATTTTGGAATCAATTGATTATTAATAAACACTCTTTATTTGCACTTTCTGTATATTCACTGAATTATCAAAATTTTTCAATAATAAAATGTTTAAACATCAAGGAAGTCACAAAGGAAGTCAATAATAATGTTTACACCGATATAAATTTATTACAATTAAAATTATTGCTACATTTGTGATTTATTATTTCTAAAAATCAGTTAAGTTTTAATAATTTAGTGATTGAGCAGCTCATGTGAGTTTGAATAACTTATGATTAAGACGCTTTATTTTTATTATTTTTGTAAGTTTGACAATTTTTATGGAATGCTGATAAATGATGCTCAATAATATTCCGGAAATTTCCTAGCAAAATCTTTATACCGTATGAATCTTAATTAGTTAATCCTGACGGGCTCGAACCTAAGATGTCATGATGCTGATTATTTAATTGTGGAAATAGAAATTTTGCAATTTGTCTTTAATTCTCCGTAGAAGGCACATGAAAATTAACTTACCCCTTAGTAGTCTCTCTCATAAGTTTCATCCCTCATATTTGAATGAGAAACAGGAATAGAAAGAGACTGACGAAGAAGAAGAAGGTCTCTTTACAGGGTGTAAGGAAAGTTTTGGCAAGTAAGCTCAGTCGACTTCATTGCGTAGAGATCAAAGAGTAAGGTAGAAGAGACAGATATTAGGAAGGTAAAGACAAAAGTTTTGCCTTTTCCCAATATTTGCTCCTATCTCCCTACTTTACTCTTAGGTAGGAATCCTAAAGGGGAATCACTGGACCGGACTAATTGTTTAAACTGTAAAATTGAATTGTTTCCCCCTGAATTTCACATAGCTGTCAGCATCCAAAAATTCAAAAAAGTCAAGGCAATACTGTATTTGTGATATGAAAAGTCAAGTACGTCCTATTCCCTTTGAAACAGCTTTATTAAATCAAGCCAACGAACCTTTCCAAAATTGAACCCAAATTGCTTATTTGTTATACAATTGGATTGAGCTGTGAAATAATATTTCATCATAATCAATCTTCAACTCAATCAAATCATTTAATTTGATCATGAAAATTTCTAATGTAATGTTATTGCCCTTTTCATTTAACATACATTGACCTACGCCTGTATTGTCATAAAACATTGTTTATGTTGAAATATGTAACAGTTTGGATTTCGCCTTCTGTGGACCGATCTGTTAAATCTTTTATAAAAATCACATTATGGACAAAAAAAGGTCCAGACGTCAACCTTGATAATTTAGAGAAAACAGCTTTTTTGATATTTAAATTGTGATTTGAATTTGCTTTTTTGAATCACAAAAAAAGTGAATTACACTAGAGTACCCGGTTAAAGCAAAATTCACAGTCGCCATCAATGATTTTAGGAAAATTGTTTTTATAATTCATATAATCCTTGCACTTACTTAAATTTTAAGCGCTATCAGTTTCTGAAAGTCATTATCACTAGATGGAGACTTACTTACTGTTAGAGAAAAATTGCATTAAGTGGGTACTTTAGTGTACTACACAAGTGCAAAATGATCCAAAATTTAGATCAACAAACTCTTTAAGACATGATTTTTACTTACCTATTTATTCTTTGTTAGTTTTATATTCTTCCAATATTTTTAAGGAGCATGCAACAAAACCCAAAGAAAGGAATATTAATTCATTTTTGAATCTCAACCAAACAGTTGATATTAAACGAAAAACTCATGTCTTTTGTGAATCCTTAGTCAATCACAGTTGAAACCAAAAAGTTGCAATTCTCTTAACCATCTTAACTGTCAACAAATTTAAATGTGTGACAAGTACAATAAGCCTGCCAGATGGCTCATATTGCTACTACATAACTATCGCTGACTCTTATTTCACCTTTTTTATTGTTTTACTTCTCAATTTCGATTCAGAGTTTTTAAACGAATTTTATTCATTTTGTTTGATCAAAAAGACGCCTAAACAAATTATTTAATTTGAGATAACATAACCCTTACAGTGTTTGATGATGAAAATTATTTCAATCTATTTATTATGATTGACTCATTGACAATGATTTTTAATTCTTTCTCTTTTGCTCATTCTGTTTACCTTTACAAGAAACTAATGCGATCATGGCTGATCGCAAGTTTCTTTTAACCCATGCTAACCGTCTTTTCACGGTAATGTCCACCACCCAATCTAAAAATTCTGCCAAATCAACTGAATCAAACATCACTTTTTGTTCACCACTTTCATTAACCACTTTAGAGTGGCTTTTTTCCACCACATTTTCAAACACTTTTTCTTATATTATAATATATTATCCACCACCCAAATCCAACAAATTTTTGACCACTTTTTGAGATATGATGGCGATTAATAGTGGACATGCTAGATGTTGTAAAGGTGGTCAAGATGGTGGTGGACAATTTTTTGGACAGTTTTGTTGAGAAAAGTCTTTTTAAAAAGAGATATTGTTTTGGTTGATTTGGTGGATGTGTTGGATTGAGTGGTAGAGAATATGGTGAAAAAAGACTCTCTTTACTCTTTACTCAAATGACAAATTTTTACATCAAATCCTGTCCAACAATGAACCATCAACCTGAATAACAAAAAAGTTTTTCCCCCAACCTCTATTTTCATGAATTTATCAGAGATCTGAATTCTGAGGTAAAGTTTCATATTTTTCGTGGATGTAGTTGAATTCGGGCTTTCATGCTGTGTAATTTTTTATCTTAGAACCCGCTCAGTTTGACCACAATCTTGACAAAAATTTGATACATTGACTTTATATATTGTGTAGATGTGTAGATTCTAAGATCTTGTGCTCTCCTACTTCGTTTATAAGTAATATCAACACATCAAGTTTGAAACATCATGAGCACTTCGAGTGATGATAGTGATAGTGATTTGTTAAGAGTTAGACCTCCATCTTCTATGACTAATTCAAGTCTACCAAAGATGAATTCAATGACATCGAGTTTGTCTTCGATAAATAGTGATAAACTGATGTCACCTACCAAACCGGTGCCTGTGTCAACAGAAATTTTGAACCCGGATCCTGATGATCTAACTGTTGGTGACTGTATTTACGTTAATGGAACAAAATCTGGTATTATCAAATTCCTTGGTAGTACAAGTTTTGCTCCTGGTAAATGGGCTGGAGTTGAATTAGCTGATGCTTCTGGTAAAAATGATGGATCTGTTAATGGAGTTAAATATTTTACTTGTGAACCCAAACATCCGTCCGTCCATTATCCGTCCACATCGTTTAACTCTAGAGCAATTACACCTCCAGAGAAACCATCGTCCACTGTAACGTCGTCATCTCCAATCAGTTATGGCTTCAAACACCAACTGATCTCATAACCAATGTAACAAGTACCACTCTCGCTTCATCAAGAACCACATCCTCATCAGCCTCGAATCTAAAAGTTGGCGATAAAGTTATGGTTCACGCTAGCAGTGGATTAAAACGAGGTGTTCTTCGGTATTTAGGATTAACTGATTTCGCTTCTGGTGGTTGAGCTCGCTTCTAGTATAAACGATGGCTCTGTTGCTGGGAAAAGATATTTTCAATGTCGACCAGACCACGGTTTATTCGCTTTCTCAATAAAGTTTTTAGAGATATGGTTAGTGGTAATGCAGCTAAATAAGCAAGACTTAACAGTAGTATGGTTAGACGGTCAAATAATTTAACTACTTCCAAACGCAGCGGAATGGGCGACAGTCGAGAATCTAGTGACAGTACTACTTTACTACTTCCCATCGATCAACCCGATTAGGTTTTGGGATGACTAGCAGCTTAAGTTCTACTAAAAAGAGTGGCTCGACTCCCTTAAAGAGAGAGGGAAGATCAGATAAGTCATTTATTGAAAGAGGAAGATATGGAATCAGCTGAATTATAGAATTTGACGACTCGAGTCAAATCATTGGAAGAAGAATTGAAACTTGTGAATGAAAGGAAAAAGGGTTACAAGAGAAGGAGAATGAAATTCAAGAAATGTGGCGTTCACTTGAAGAAACGAACAGCCTCATTAAACAATTATTAATCAGTGCTGAGTCATCACTATCAAAGAGGAAAAAAAGTGAAATGTAATCATTCAGACTCGGGAAGGAAATGGTTATTAAAATGGAAATGAGAGATGAAATAGCGAAATCAATTGACACTCAGAGTTCTGCTTATGAAGAAGATGACAACGAGATCGAACTATTCCAATTGCAGGAAGAAATTATCAAAAAGGACGATAAATATTTAAGGCTGAGCGAACCCTTGAAAATAAGATACAAGAGATGCAAAATTTACAACGAAGAAGCTTGAATCAATTGTAATTTAAGTGAACAAAGAGAGACTCATTATCTTGAAACTATCTATGAACTCGATTTGAAATTGAAGAAAAACCAAGATGAAATGGATAAAATGGAAGAAGATTCAAACCGAATGAATGTAGAATCCAAGAAACTTCAAGACAAGATGAATGAGTTTCTTAAACAACCAGGAACGATAGTAATGAATTGAATACAGGGCTATTCAACCTCATTTATTTGACAAGGACCAAATATGTTTGCCTGATTACCTGGTATATTATATTTGTATAATATGAATAATATGATAATATAATTGAAGTTTCGAGGTCATGTGAGGCCATTCGTTTATTTGACAATCAAACGACACCTAAAGGTCATTTTCGAATAGCCCAACTTTTTAACGCTGTAAGTTTTTCTTTGCAAAGTAGGAAAAATAACCTAGGCAGTAGTCATATGCTTGTGTTATTGTTTTGTCCTGTGTTTTCACATCAAACATACTCTCAGACTTGCATATTTCTGAAAATTTTCATACTTAGAGCGCGAACCAGAAAAGTCTATATCAAACTCTATCCAAGAAAAACCAAAAAATTCCAAAATACTTCACAAGAAGCTGTTGGTGTGTTGCTTTATGCGTTCATCCTCTGTAGACCTGACATTACCTTCCAAGACAACAATACTTCACAGTTCAACACTAAAATCAATAAAAGCTGTAGAAAGAAAGTCACATACAATTGCTTAAAGATCTGTCTATTCCAATGCAAGTACTGAATCAGTCAACAGTGATAATCGAGGAGTTGCTGTCCTGCATCAGAATAACTTGTTCCACAAACGTACTGAATACATGGATTTGCTTTATCTCGCCATTAGGGACTATCAAGAACAAGGTACAGGGCATTTCAGCTAATTTTACCGTTGTGAGTTGGCTATATCTTTGCCCCTGAGTGACCATGACCTTGAAATATGACAATTGAGTATCGTCCACATTTCTATAAACAAAATATCTAACCTCAAGGTAATTCAGAGGCAAAGTTATAGCCAATTCACAACAGTAAAATTAGCTGAAATGCCCTGTATAATCAAACTATACTTTTTCCCTGAAGATCAGCAACCTGCTGATATGCTAACAAAGTCATTATGTACATCTTCTGTGAACGAATGCAAAGACCTTCTTCACATCGGTTAAACACTTCTGCAAACATAAAACTAACACTTATCGTGTGCAAAATTTCAAACTTTTCACTGCTTTACACATAGAACCGCCTCTGCCTTACCAATTTTCTCTTTACATACTTTAATTATCTTTTTACTTTCATTTTATCCTTAACTTTCGTAACCTTTGGGATAGTGCAAGGCAGAGTGCAAATTTCTTATAGAAGCTCTGAATTCAGGTCATATCTCGATAGCCACAAGTTGCACGATTGAACCATCTACATCATACTTCAGCATGATGAGTGCACCCTGAATAACAAGTTTATTCATCGTATTTTCAAAGTTTCAAACTTCGACCCCGAAATCCATGTTAAATGCGCTACCCTAAGAGCGACTCGACTTAACTTTGCAATCATTCATCACACAACAATTAATTGAGTATATTCTGAATCGAGTTCCGTCTATTTATAAAGAGCTCATTGCATCAGTGCCCCTTGGACTGACGTTTCGACTGATGGCCTTGACGAACAAGCTCGGGAATGAGTACTCTGATGCTAAATCTGTTAATTCAGGTTAATGCTCAGAGTACAGATCAGTATCAGCCACAGGGTGATGCTAAAATTCCTAAGGCACGAGCTTTTCCAGCACCACTAAAGTTGATGCCCTTATTACCTAAAATACTACATGGAAACACACCCATATGTGTATTTATATGCAAATACGCATTAGCGAAGAACCGCAACCTGGCCGCCGATTTTGATTGATTTCCGTATTCACACACTATTCAAATTTCACCCTTGCCAATAGTGATTGTTAGAGTTTTTGTGATTACTTAGATTGGTGTTACTAGTAAAGTTAGGAAACTGATTATTACGATTAGTATAAATCTGATGCTGATTATTCTGATTGTTTTGAGCTTTGCAACAGTATTTAGCCTCTTCCTATGCATTCATAACAAAGTAAAGCTTTTTCTCAAACTTTTTTTTATTTGGTTTACCAAATAATACTTGCTTTGGAGTACGTTTGTTTACTCCAATTTCTGCTTCTTGAAGAGTCAGAATGTGTTTTATTTCAGAGAGATCAACCTTATTTCCACGATACAATTCTGTTTCATAGCTATCATAGCAGGCAAATTTGCAATAACTTTATTGGTAATAGAGCTTTCAGTTGCTTCATGTTCTTTAAAGTAAGAGCCAACAGTGTGAGAGCTAGCAAATTAGTATATCTTGTTTCAGCTACGTGAGTGTTAGTAGTAACTAATTTCTCTTTCTTATTTCTATTGACTGAAAACCTTTCAGCTGCAGTTTCACAATTAAAAATTGTGTCTGCCATACTTTCATTTATGGAGTTGATAATTAAAGCTGATGCCAAAGCGTCCATTTCTTCCATAACTTGATTGCTTTCTTATTTGCGGCGACTTCATTAGGCGTATGTTCCTCGTCTTCATCCAGCAGCTCAGGCATAGCGCTTGATGCATCAATTATATCCCATACTTGACCCATTCCATTGAGTTGATCATTGACGATGCAGTTCCGAAGGGTTTTAAAGATGCTATCGATGCTATAGCAATAGATAATCTGAAGAGGTAATACTCACACAGTAATCCGTAATTGGTACAAACACTAGAAATACAGCAAGTATGGCTGTCACAGGTAAAACACTCAATTTTTATTAGAGTCAATGTATTAACACGTATTAACATGTACGTCAATGTAAAAAGTTGAAGTCCGAATTTTTCCAGGGGTGTGCAAAAATTTTTTTCGATTGTAAAAGCTTAAGTCACCAATAAAAGTGACTTTTAGTAGCTAACTTATACTTATCTACCATTATTTACCACGTAAAAAAATCTGCAAAATTTAACATGAAAGTCAATGTAAAAAGTTAAAGTCCGAATTTTTCCAGGGGTATGCAAAATGAAAAATTTGAAAAAATAAAAACATGTTCAATATAAATTAATACATTGAACATGTAGTTCAATGGAAAAAGTTAAAGGGTGGTTTTTTCCAGGGGTATGCAAAAAAATTTAACATGTAAGTCAATGTAAAAAGTTAAAGTTCGGTTTTTTCCAGGGGTATGCAAAAAATTTTTCGATTTTAAGTCACAACAAGACTAACTAACTAAAACCTGCTAAAAGCTAAAAACCTGGCTAAAATCACAAAAACAGCACTTTTTCGCATTTTGATTCATATAAATCATGTAAAAAATTTAACATGTAAGTCTATGTAAAAAGTTAAAGTTCGGACTTTTCCAGGGGTATGCAAAAAAATTTAACATGTAAGTCTATGTAAAAAGTTAAAGTTCGGACTTTTCCAGGGGTATGCAAAAAAATTTAACATGTAAGTCAATGTAAAAAGTTAAAGTTCGGTTTTTTCCAGGGGTATGCAAAAATTTTTTCGATTTTAAGTCACAACAAGACTAACTAACTAAAACCTGCTAAAAGCTAAAAACCTCGCTAAAATCACAAAAACAGCACTTTTTCGCATTTTGATTCATATAAATCATGTAAAAAATTTAACATGTAAGTCTATGTAAAAAGTTAAAGTTCGGACTTTTCCAGGGGTATGCAAAAAAATTTAACATGTAAGTCAATGGAAAAAGTTAAATTCCAAATTTTTCCAGGGGTATGCAAAATGAAAAATTTGAAAAAATAAAAACATGTTCAATGTAAATTAATACATTGAACATATAGTTCAATGGAAAAAGTTAAAGTGTTGGATATGAAAATCGACATCATAGCCCAAAACTAATGTCATATCCTTGTTTCCCATACTAAATTACCATACTTTACATGTTCATTAATAATTTTTCGCAACTTTGATTTTTTACCCTCTCTACAACTACGTTACGTAACTCCCTGCGTGGAAAAACTAACTTTTGCCCCTTTAGTATTTCTATTGATATTAAATATTGATACCCTTAAACGAATA